ACAGGAAATGAACAGGAGATAAAGGAAACAATTCAGCTGAACTTTTTTACACCTCTACTCTGCCTAAACAACTCTGTAAGTGTGGAATTAATTGTGAAAGCTTTGACTGGTTAAGAAAGCAAGCTTTTTGGGCTTGGTCTCCACTACCTTGTAATATAAGGCATCATTTACACCTTGGTATGGCCTGTGCAAAATGTTATTGAAGTAGACAAGTGACATTTTAGACATGTTTAGCAGTAAGTGGAAATGGCTGCTCAAGCTGTGAGGTAAAGAAATTTAGGCCCTTTATTTTGCACCCTGTTACAAATGTTAAGCTAAGGTCTGAGATCTTCTAGACTGCAGAATACAGTACCTATCATCTTTAAATTTGTCAGGTAACAGCCCTGAAACCTTTGCCTACTTCACACGCATATATGTATGCATGCACATACACACATGCATGAGCGCACACACGTATGCCTCACTCCTCATTCTTGTTCACCTAGCTGCCGGCCTAATCAGGACTTTCACTAAAGTCTATTGAGTTAGGTCAGAGCAAATCCTGTGCAAAATCTTTGTACCTCCTAAGAGTCCCATAGAGTGATGCTAATCTTTAATGAAAAGCTCATGAAAAGTGCATACATAATTAATGAGGGAGGATGGATCACATGCCACCCTATCACATTACACAAAGGGGACATACTATTGCCCTCTGCATGTAGGATGTGTGGGTTGTTGAGACTATTGTGTAATACAGGCAGCCATTTCACTCATGGGAGCTGAAAGGAGTTTTGAGAAAGAGGCAAATCATCTGGACTGACTTGTCCAAATGATAATACCTAGGTGTCTTTCTCATAGGAACTAGTGGGAGAAAAGCATGTCCATTATTGGCAATATAGACTGAAAGCGCAGAGACTGTGCCTCAGAGAGTCTGTGAAGGAGAGGAACTTAATGAGCATATGCTCTTGAGAGCCAACAATGTTATTTGTAGGGAAGCTTTTGCCTAGTTTTTCCTAAGCAAATTCCAGCAGAGCACGGATAACCTGCTGACTCTTGGTGTTTCATTTCCCACCCTTGCTTTGTTACACCCAGAAAATATATTTAGATGTAACCGTGGGGGACTGGTGCCACCTGATACTGGGGGGGGGGCACTAGCAGCCAATCGTCGACCAGGGAGGGGTCCCTCAGTGGCAGATCGTCACTGCTGGCAGAAGTGCTGGTGGCAAACACAGAAGTGCCGCTGGTGCTTCTCTCAGTGCCCCCACAATCTCGGGGGGGGGGCACTGGCCATTGCACCCCAGTCCCCGGCAAGGGCCAATCTCAGGGGGGGCATGTGCCCCCCCTACGTGTTGCCTGTGGGTGTAACCCTGCTTCTATTCTGCATGTTTGACTATGGTTATGTCCTGTAACAGGGTCTTCAACCCCTGGTCCACAGGCCAGATCCAGCCCCCACTGCCAAGTTGTTTAGTTTAAGGGCTCCACATGGATCCAAAAATATGGCATCAGGGTAGTAATGGCCCCACTCCCCTGCTGCCAAATTTCTAGATCCAACCTCAAGTCCTGATTCCAGGCTGCATGACTCTGGGACAGCATTTGTGCTGGATTTGCAGTACCTGCAGAGATCAGGAAAGGGTGAGTTTCCCATTGCAGGCTGGTAGTGTTCCAGTCTGCAAGGCATGGCTCGGAGTGGGACACGGGGGCTGCCACGTGCATGTGCACACCTGCACGTGGCTGAGAAATATAGCCAGGGAGTACTGAAAGAAGCTCCCTGCATGTAAGTCTCTGGGTGGGAAGGGGTATGGGGGCGGGGGATGTGTTCAGATTGAGGCCCCAATGGTGAGGGAGGGAATGGGGCAGGGGTGGGAGGCACTGCTTGGCCAGGGTGGTGCATGGGGTTGGGGCAGGGAGCAGGAGAGAGGTGTGGGAAGCTTGTCCAGGGGGCATAGGAAGCACGTGCTCCCCCAAATTTGTGTGCAGGGCAGGGGCAGATGCAGGCTGCCCACTGTGGGCTTAGGGCTCTCCAACCTGCTACCCTACCCCTGGGGGTCCTGCACCAGCTGTGCCATGGCAAGGTGCCCCTTGCCTGCCCAGCGGCAGAGGGGGTGGCAGCACCATGGATTTGTGTTCTCTGCTGCTGCTGGGCAGGGAGGCAGGGCTCCCAAGTGCTGCACAGCCATCTCAGGGCTCCCAAGGGAAAGCCTTGTGCCACTCATATGGCCTGTAGGGCCAGAAGAGTAAGCATACTATTCTCTGATAGTAACTGCACATTCTGTATCTGCATACCCTCATTAGTATATATGTTTGAGGGGGCTACTTGCACCTGCCTTCCTTGTTTGTAGGCATAGGTTCACTGTCTGGAGTTAAAATGTGCCATAGCAGAGGGCAGGTGGATAAGACTTATGTCCACTGTCCCTCCCTTCCAAATCTGTGAAGTTCGTAGCACGCAAATGTTCTTAAGGCAAAGTCATACCAAGGTCACTGATAAGTCCACACTCACTGTGCATTCTGCAGGGGTCTGCATTCCTGGGAGAGTTTTCCTTCCCAACTGTTGGGCTAGGTAGTAGCTCCTGCATTTGTTTGCTGGTGACTTGAATCTGTTTGAGGTTTCACTTACTGCTTGATAGCTAATGCTGTCTTTAAAGTGCATGTTTGCTCCCTTTTCCCCCTTGTAATAAACCATGTTTAGTTTAAATGTTTGCTTGCAAGTGGGGAATGTTGTTCACCTTAGAACCTTTGGTTAAAATTTGTTTTCCCAGGTTTCTGGGTAGGGGCTTGAGCTGAATTTTAAAAGTTAGAGTAAAACCCCTAAATTTGAATCTTGCCTTTGTTACAGTCATCCACTGCCTGGCAGAAGAATGTATACATTTCTCCTTTAAAAATTGTTCTGTAATGGCTCCCATGTCCCACGCAATAATTGATTCCACTGCAGCTGGAAGAGAGAGACAGGCTTTCTGGATGAAAGGCACTGTAAAATCCAGGGAAGGTATATTCTTCAGCCAATGCAATAATGCTAGTTTCATTGCTTTAATAGTGCGGTGGGCTCTGGGGTCTTGTGAGAGCCTGCATCAAGGGATCTGAGAAATCAACCACACTAAATTGCCTGCTTTCAAAAGTCCTGCATGACACCTACAGCTGAGTAAGATGAAAAGAGTGTCTGACTCACAGGGCAATTTGCACAACTTTTGCAGTGCCTGAGCTGAATCCAAGTAGCCATGTTTGGTTCACTCTGCACAAAGGAGCAAGTCTCTCATACCTATTTGAATCCCTTAATCCTGAATAAGAACTAAAATATATATATATATATATATATCACACATTTCTTATTGCCAGGTTGCCTATGTTCTACTATGCTATTTCCATTACAAACAACATTTAATTTCTAATTGTAATTAAAGGCAAACAGAGGCTGAGGGAGCTGGCTGGGGTTATTGCAGGGCCCCTGGCACGGCTCTACGAGCGATCGTGGTGCTTGGGCCAGGTGCCAGACGATTGGAAGGTAGCTAATGTGGTCCCCATCTTCAAAAAAGGGAAAAGGGAGGACCCGGGCAATTATAGGCCCGTCAGTCTTACCTCAATCCTGGGGAAGCTCTTTGAGAAGATCATCAAGGAGCACATTTGTGATGGGCCGGCATCCGAGATGATGCTCAGGGGCAATCAGCATGGATTTATTAGGGGGAGATCATGTCAGACCAACCTGATTGCCTTTTATGATCAGGTCACAAAGGCCATGGATGCAGGTGTCGCGGTGGATGTAGTCTTTCTGGACTTCAGCAAGGCCTTTGACACCGTCTCTCACCCCATCCTAATTAGTAAACTAGGCGACTGTGGCATAGATGCCTACACGGTCAGATGGATTGCAGATTGGCTGAAGGGTCGCACTCAGAGGGTGGTGGTGGATGGATCATATTCGACTTGGGGGGAGGTGGGTAGTGGAGTCCCTCAGGGCTCGGTCCTGGGCCCTGCGCTGTTCAATGTCTTCATCAGCGATCTTGATGTTGGGGTGGAGAGCAACCTGTTTAAATTCGCTGATGACACCAAAATTTGGGGGGAGGTGAGCACGCTAGCAGGGAGAGAGAGATTGCAGAAGGATCTGGATAGGTTACAGGGGTGGGCAGACAGGAACAGGATGCGTTTCAATACGGACAAGTGCAGGGTGCTGCACTTGGGTAGTAGGAACCAGCAGCACACTTATAAGATGGGGAGCTCCCTACTTGAGAGCACGGAGGCGGAAAGGGATCTTGGTGTCATTATTGACTCCAAGATGAACATGGGCCGACAATGCGAGGTCATGGTTGGCAGGGCTAACCGGACCTTGTCGTGCATCCACAGGTGCATCTCGAGTAGAGCCAGGGAGGTGATCCTCCCCCTCTATGCGACGCTGGTCAGGCCGCAGCTGGAGTATTGTGTCCAGTTCTGTGCGCCCCATTTCAGGAGGGATGTGGACAACATGGAGAGGGTCCAGAGGAGGGCCACCCGCATGATCCGGGGACAACAGGGCAGACCCTACAGTGAGAGACTGCGGGACTTGAACCTATTCAGCCTCCACAAGAGAAGGCTGAGGGGGGACCTGGTGACCGTCTATAAACTCACTAGGGGGAACCAGAGGGGTTTGGGGGAGACGCTGTTTCCCCTAGCCCCTGCTGGCATAACAAGGAATAATGGGCACAAGTTGATGGAGAGGAGGTACAGATTGGACATCCGAAAAAACTACTTCACAGTCAGGGCGGCTAGGAGCTGGAACCAACTTCCAAGGGAGGTGGTGCTGGCCCCTACCCTGGGGATCTTTAAGAAGAGGCTGGATACTTACCTGGCTGGACTCATTTGAGTCCCGTTTTTGTTTTTAGGGTGAGTGGTTTTGTTTGTGTTTTTGGGTTGTTCTCCCGCCCTGGCGGGGGGTCGGGCTAGAAGATCTATTAGGTCCCTTCCGACCCTGAAACTATGAAACTATGAAACTATAAGATCAATTAGTGATGCATGCCATTTAGCTACATAAGTATCAAAGAAGAGGGCAACAAATAAGAGAACACAGCAGCCATCAGACAGCATAGGGTGGTGAGTTACAGTGTGTCTAGGCATCGTTATTATTATAAATGTTGTTTTCTCAGTCCACTCCATTTGGCTCTTCTTGCCTCAAATAACTCTGTTGTTATTTGAAATGAGACAATAAATTGCTTCATTTCTCTTAATTATTTTATTCTGGTCAATAATGCTTCTATAGATGACATTTTGTTTTGCAGCTGTAATGATAAAATATGCTATTTGGCAATGGTCACAAGTATAAGCTGTTTAATTTCAGCAAATCAGGAAATTTGCCTAACATCACAGGATAAGGAATTGGGATGGGGACACATTGCTCAAAAATAACCCTTACAATCAAATTTCTTTCATTGTCATTTGGGCTAGGGGCAGAAATTATACATAATTGAAGTTTAAGTTTACTCATCATAGTTTAAGTGATCAGAAACTGATTTAAACCTGTAACAGAACATAATTTCAGTGCATATAAAGCAGTTTCAAAATGGCTGAAACTGGTTTAAGATAAACCTGGTTGAATGTAGTATCAGACTTAACTGATTTGGGTCAAACCAGTTTATGCAAATTCTGTCCTAGACCCCTTCCTTGTTTAAGTTAAACCAGAGTCCTCCAGCATGTTCTGCAGTGCTGGGCTGGACTGTGTGCTCTGCTCCAGAGAGCAGGGCTGGCCTCGCCCCTCTGCCCTTTAGCTTGAGCAGGGGTGGGACCATGGCCAGAGGCATCCCAGCATGGCCCCGTTAAGGCAAAGTGGGCAGGGAGGGGGGTTAATTCTTTCCTCCTTCCCCCCTCCCTCCACCCCACCACGGCCAGGATCTGCCAGCAAGTGGCGGAGGCAGTGGCTGGGGCTGGCAGACTCCAGCAGCGGTCCCCAGGGGCAGAAGGTACAGAGGGAGGAATTAACCCTGGACCTGCCTCCTTCACCTTAACAGGGCCATGCCAGGATGGCATCTGACCATACCCCTGCCCCCACCCCTGGAACAGTGAGGGGAGGGGGAGGGGCAGCAACCTCTGTCACGGTGCCCCAGGGACCACAATCATGAAGGGGGTTTATTCCCTGCCCCACTGGCAGGGATCACAGCCATCCCAGCATGGCCCTGTTAAGGCTCAGGGGGCAGAGAGGGGGTTAATTCCTGCCCCGCTCCCACCAGAGGACTGCAGCCAGGGTGAAGCAGCCCCCCTCCTCCCCTCCCACCACTGCAGGGTGGGGAGGGGGGCTCTGTGCAGTGCAGCCCCAGGGGGGGACTCTTCCCCTCCTCCTCCCCCTCCAACACTGCAGACAGCCCCCCTCCCCACCTGGCAGCTAGTTAGACTAACCTGCAAAGATTGAATCAATTCAGGCTCAGGCTTTTTGAACGTCTGTCTCTAGCCTTGGGGGCCTTTCTAGGAGAGCTAAAAGTGATCCTTCATACCATGGGGTCCCCTCAAGAAAAACATATCAAAGGACCAGATGAGTGATTCGCAAACAGGGTGCTGTGGCACTCTGGGCCTGCTATGAAATCCTTTAAGGGTGCTGTGGTATGCCATGCAATGTTATCACTGTTAGGTGTACAAACATGATTCACAAGATCAACCCAGGCATTTCAAATAGGAATCCACAGTGTTAAAAACATGCTGACCTACTGTGGTCTTTCTGAGTTCTTTGCAATGGAAAAAATATCCTATTACTTTTCCATAGCCAAAAACGAGTGAAAGCTAAGCGCTAGCATTTTCTGAGGGGTGCTTTCATTCTAATGAGGGGTGCCTTGAATCTAAAAAGGTTGTTAAGAACCATTGGATAAGAGCAACTTGTAATTAAAGATTGCAATGAATATTGGCAGATTTGAAATACTGACAAACTGTACAATCTGCTTTGTGAGTTTGCCACATTTTTACATGACAGGGCTGTAAATATACCAGGCTTCTCCCAGTAAGATAGGTGGTTTGGGTCAAAAATTGATTTATATTTCTTTCCTCTGTGCATGTATCTGGTTGGAGGGAGGAGAAGAAAGCAATCCTCTTTATTGACAATGTTGCTAAAAACCTTTTGAAGCTTATATCCTCCTTTCATTCATTAGTCTGCTCTCCTCCAATCAGTTTAAAACTCTTTGATGTAAACAATTCAGTTTTAAGTCTCTCAGTGGGGAAACAGTGTGTCTGGCAAAGGAAAATCCTAAAGAACAAGGCAAGGCACCAGAAGGACTCCCTCTCTCCCAGCAGATGGAGAGAATAGCAGGAAAGCAGCTTCAAGCAATCAGCAAGTGGACAAGGCAGCAGGAGACAGAACTACTTACTGAACTAACAGAAGTGAATGGCACCTGCTGGAATTCTGCATACTTTACCCTCTGCCTGGGATCTGCTGCAAGGTGGGGAGACTATTATAGGTGACGTGCAAAAATGACAAAGTTTTTTCATGTCTCTTTCCATGCCAGAAAAATGCTACTGTTTACCAGTGTAGTCCAGTTAATGTCACAGTCATTGCTTGGGTAAAACATGGGCTCAAGTCTTACTTCTAGAGTTTTTTATTCCTGCTGCTCCTGTTGGAGTGCACTTTGTGTGAGAATTAAACTGAACTAAATTTTGTCCAGTTGCATGCTGAAAGGAATTCCCAGGATCCTCTTGATGAAGTTCTTTCACTTGAGAGGATCACTTGAGGTGATTTCTTCATGCCCCCATTGATACTATGTTCTTCAAGGGACCCCTTTAGTCCCTAAGGTGCCACCATGCCCTACCTTCTTCTTGATGTTAATGAACATGGTTAAATAAGTTTTTATGTTGTAGCAGTATTAATCCAGGCTCTACTCCCCCTCACGAGCAGTACACTCCTCTTAACAGAGGGCATGAATGAATTTTATTCATTTAATTAACTTGAATAAGCCCTGTGTTACCTTGCAGATTTCTCATCTAAGGGCAGGCCAGTGGGATTCCTATTCAGGATTCCTGTGTGCCTATCACAGGCACCTTTCAAAAGCAGCGTAGTGCCTGAGTGGTGTTCAACCCTCTGGCTGGAAGACACAGCTCTGTGGGCTGGATCTGGCCCGCGGGCTGGAGATGGAGCACCACTGCCTTTGTTCAAAGAGAGGCAGATTGAAAAATTAACACAGAGCAAACAGTCAACTCCGTGTTGGGTGCATAATGCAAATTTGAAGAATGAATGCTATTATGTGGGCCAGAATATGGTATGTTGACAGAAATAATATGGTTTTCAGGTTACATTCTAGAGTTAGTGCAAAGAGGTTGAACAGCAAACTCAGCGTAAACTACATGGTTATCACAAAGTACATTTGGAGCTGGGGCCCCAGTAAAGTCTACAAAGGGTTTTGGCTCACACCCTCAAAGCTATTCAGGTCCCCAACTTGAACTGAAGTCAAATGGAGTAGGTGCCTAAATACCTTTTGAGGACTGGGCTTTTGCCATTGCTAATTGATTTTGTTGAGAGAATTCAGTGACGGTCAGTGGGGTAAAGCCTTTTCAACAGACAGTTTGGAAGGCACAGCAGGCTTCTGGGGCTAGGGGCTCTGTCATTTTGTGAGGACAAGCTCAATGTAAAATGTAGCTTCTGTAAAAATGCATGCTATCTTCATTATTACTTTACATGTATCAAGCCTCTTTTCCCCCATCAGAAGCTTTTAATTAAGCATCTGAGCATCCTGGCTGTGGTGTTGCTATTTTAAGGCTTTTTAAGCTGGGTAAAATGAGGCACACAAAAAGTGTACTGATTTGCCCAGGGTCTTGCAGAGAGCCTTTAGTAGAGCCAGGAGTGTCTTGACCCTTAATCTTCTCCTTTAATTGCTTGAACAAAAATGTTTTTACATTAAAAAAAATATCTGCCATCCTCCCCCTGCTCCTGCTGTTTCTCAGTGTTCAATATTTTCTCAGTATTCATTATTTCTCTACCATACCAAGGTCTTATATCAACCTCAACCCTGCTATTCTTTGAGAAACTAAGGGTCCATCAGGTCCAGGATTCTCTGTCGGTGAATAGGCATCACTTCAACAAAAGGTACAAATCACGAAGGTGAGAGTCGTTTGTCCAGCAGTTGCTGAGATGGCTTTGTTTGCCATGTAATCATTTCCAGCAGTAGCTTTTCTATAAGCATCACCCAGAAGAAACTAGCACTATAACATCTGAGCTCTGCACTTTCCCCTCTGACACAGTTTCTACATGCACAGCTGTGAGGCATAGGCTGTTGCAACTCAGCAAATGTTGCACCTGGTGAGGCAATCTATTGTAGTAGGAGCTTCCTTAGGTGTATGGCAGAGGGATGGTGTTGCCCACACAGGCCAAAAAGGGAAACGGGAATCAAAATTATTTAAAAATATATATTCATTAACAGCATGGAAATCATTAAGCTAGTAAACCTTGAGTGAAATTCACCCTTCCCTCAAGATCTGTGAGCCACTGAAGACCCATGTACTTTTTATGTTGAAGGTGTGATTTAGATTTAAATGGTATATATGCCTGTTGCCAGTCTTGTACCTTGGGGTGGATGTCATCTTCAATGCATAGCATAGGCAAGTCTAAGAACCAAGGAGGCTTCTGCAAACATTTGAGCATGACACACCAGCTAAATCTTTAGCTTGCTTTGAAGGATCATCAATGACCATTTTCTTTTTTCTATTAATCTTATTCACATTCTCCAGCACTGAAAATCGCCTCCTCTGACAAAAAGCTCATCAACAATAGCCTTAGCAGCAGAATCTGAGGCCCACACCATCCTGATAAAAAGAAGCAGTTGCAGGGAGAGTGAATAAAGAAATCTGTAAGTGATCATCTTTCCAACCTTCCTCCGTATGACTTCTGCTGAGAACATTTTAAAAAATCTACATTCTTGTGAATTAAAGCTGCAAAGGAACAGGCAGCAATTTGAAATACACTGTGATTAATCTGTCTCGAAAGAGACAGTATCAGTCTTCCATTTCTTCCACTACATAAATTCTACTTTATATTTAATGGGGTTATTAAGCACTGACATTCTAGCAGACCCAATCAATATTACATTCCCAATTCCTGATAATAAGGAACACATGCAATACAGGAAAAAAAAAGTTGCTGATTGTTTCCATTGTCCTACCCAGAGAGTATCAATATAGCTTCACAGCAACTATACATCACAGGAAGTTATGGACAGTACAGAAGGTAAGATTTCAAGTAATGAGCACAGTTTCTAGTGTAGCCCTAGGTTCCTTTAAGCTGCAGTATGGGTCCCATTAAAGAGGATGAGATTGGATGATGGAAAAGGGAAATAGCTCTTCTCTATATCACAGTTGATGCAGCAAGACTGGATCCTCTTACCAGAGTTCATCATGGTAAAAGCATAACAATGATAAATAACTTTGGTGAGAAACTATCCCCCTCTTTTACATTTTCCTTCTCTTTTTTTAGTTAAAACAACTCATAGGCTCATCCAACATAGGCTACTGTGACACGTGCAAGGAATTGGAGTGTGTATGTTGGTGTATGCCTAGATATTTCTTTGTTTAGTCTTGAAAATGCTCTCACACTGAGGAAAATGACTGTCAGGTACATGAGATGCAAATATTGGAGTTGAGACAACGATTCGTAATAAATTATTTTTTCTGATGAATGCATCTCATATTTGAACATTCGGATCCCTGGTATCCGAAGCGGCCAGATCTGAAGCCGGATCGGATTGCTGCCGACTTGCACAGGCCTACTATACAGTTTCCAAAAAGTAGATACCAAAGCCCATCCTTTCAAAAATGGAATAGGTGACATTCCATTCTGACCATATGAATGGCCCATATGAATGGTCCCTATCAAGATTCTCCACATCCCTCTTGAAGTACGGTGCCCAAGACTGGATGTAGTACTTCAACTGGGGCCTGACTAGTGCCACATAGAGGGGAAGCATCACCTCCCTGAACCTGTTTGTCCTGCATCTGCTAATGCATGATAAAGTGCGGTTAGCCTTGTTGATCACTTCATCACATTGATGACTCATGTTCATCTTGGAGTCTACTATGACTCCAAGATCTCTTTCCACTGCTGTGCTGCTGAGATGGTCATCCCCCAGCCTGTAAGTCTGTTGGTGGTTCTTTTTGCCCAGGTGCAGCACTTTGCATTTGTCTTTGTTGAACTGCATACTATTTTGTTCTGCCCATTTTTCCAACCTGTCCCAATCTGCCTGGATCCATTCCCCACCCTCTTGTGTGTTAACTTTGCCCCATAATTTGGTATCATCTGTAAACCTTAGACCCAATACTAGAGACCAGGACCCCCTCCTGCCACAGTGACTTCTGTAACTAGTAGGCTGGAGAGTAGGAGTCATCTAGGACCACCTGAATCCCTTGCTGACCCCCTGACCCCTCTTGCTGACCCCCTGAATCTGTGTCGTGGAATGATTTCACCAGAAAGGTGGGGGATGGATAGAGTGGGGGGTATGATTTCCTCTTCCAGTATAGTCTCTGGCCTAAATACCTAGGGCACTACCAGGAAGTGGGAGATACCAGTTTATACCTCTTCATGGTCAGGAGGGGTGGTGGAATTAAACCCAGATCTTTCCCATCTTTGGTGAGTGCTCTGACCACCAAATAATTGGATAAAAAGGGGTGCAATTCCTCCTCCAGCTCTGTGTTAGAACAAAATAGTGTCACCTATTCCATTTTTTAAAGGATGGGCTTTGGTATCTACTTTTTGGAAACTGTATAGTAGGCCTGTGCAAGTCAGCAGCGATCTGATCCGGCTTCAGTTCTGGCCGCTTCGGATACCAGGGATCTGATCCAGAGCTCTGGACTAGGTTTCTCCTTTGATCCGGCCGAAGTGGCTACGAAGCTTCAGAGCTGCCTCGGAGATCCTGCCATGGGGCATAATGGGGAATCAAATATCTATAACTTTGTTGTTTTTTGTCTGATTTGGATGAAACTTGCAGGGGTGGTAGCCTCTGCTGACGGCATGAAGTCTTCCAAGTTTCAAGAAGATTGGTGCAGGGGTCGGGGGGAACTGTACCCCGAATTCTTGAAAGCAAAACTCATGTCACATCTATGTGTTACACCATAGTGGGGTGAAAACTGCAGGGATGGTACCCCTGGTGATGCCACAAAGCCTGCCAAGTATCAAGAAGATCAGTGCAAGGGTTTGGGAGGAACTGCAACTCAAGCTGAGGACAAGCAAAACTTGTGCCATGGGTGACACTGTTTGTGTTAAGGTGCAGCAGGGTGAAAGCTGCAGGGATGGTAGCCCCTGCTGCAGGCACAAAGCCTGCCAGCTGTCGAGAAGATTGGTGCAGGGGGGTTCTGGGGCCCTGCACCTCTAGCTGCTGACAGGCAAAACTTGTGCCATGGGTGCTTGTGCAACTGACTGTCTCTGTCTTGGGGCAGTTGATTGTCTGTATTGTTTCCTCTCTTTAGTCTCTGCTTTTGTAGGTGTTAATTGATGGTAATTAACTGGCTACTTTAGCTAGCTACTGTGTATTGAGCTGGTCCCTGAGTGAATCATGATTAATTGGTAACTGGTAACACAGTAGCTTAGCAGCCAGGCATGCAGTAGTGTCCTCCCTCCCCGCCCCAAGACAGAGACAGTCAGTTGCACAAACACCCATGTCATGAGTTTTGTCTGTCAGCAGCTAGAGGTGTGGGGCCCCAGAACCCCCCTGCACTGATCCCCTTAACAGCTGGCAGGCTTCATGGCATCAGCAGGGCCCACCATCCCTGTAGCTGTCACCCTGCTGCGCCTTAACACACACAGCATCACCCATGGCATGAGTTTTGCTTGTCTGCAGCTTGAGGGGCAGTTCCCCCCAAACCCCTGCACCGATCTTCTTGAAACTTGGCAGGCTTTGTGGCCTCACCAGGAGCCACCACCCATGCAGCTTTCACCCCGCTGTGGTATAACATATACCCCTGACATTAGTTTTGCTTTAAAAAATTTGGGGTGCAGTTCCCCAGAAACTCCTGCACCGATCTTCTTGAAACTTAGCAGACTGCATGGTCTCAGCAGAGGTTATAATACCTGCAAATTTAATCCAAATCAGACAAAAAACAACAAAGTTATAGATATTTCATTGATTTCCCATTATACCCTATGGCCAGATCTCCGAAGCGACTCCAAAGCTTTTCCGAAGCGCTTTGGATGCTCCGAACCGCTTTGGAAAGCCTGAAGAAGCCAGCACTTCGATCTGGACATGCTGCTTTGGATGCCAAAGCATCCAAAGCTTCTCTGGATCCAAAGCTCTGTCCGAAGCCTTGCACAGCCCTACTGTATAGGACTGTAACTCCTGAGGGAAGGGAGATACCTCCTGGTGGTGCTAACCAGATGCCTAAGCCCCCAAGAAGATTTCAAGTGATGTCTCTCTCCTTAGCATTTCCTATTGGGCAGCTTAGGTGGCTCTCTGCCCAACAAAGATATTTTGTGATATCCTTTATTGTACCAACTGTATAGTTGGGAGAGCTGCTGGACAAGCTTTCAGGCATCAAGTGCCTATCCTCAGGTCTAAGCAGGTCTAGGAAGGGTACACGATGTTCAAAATCTTGTCCAACAGTTTTCCCAACTGTACAGTTGGTGCAATAAAAGTTACCACAAAAAATCCTTGCCTCTCATACATTTCCTGGACCATCATGGCTACAACACGCCAACCCTACTACTGCTTAGGTTCCTAACTCCTCCTGTGCATGGTACAGGGAGCCTCAGCATTTAGCTCAGAGCTATGGATTTGTTACAGGGGCCCAGAGCCTTAAAGCTAGGTATTGTGATGTTTTGTATATGGCTTCAAAGCAAGTCCCTTCATGGACCTATGCCTCAGGGTCCTTTGTGTAAAATGAAGGTAACTAGAACTTCCCTACTTTGGTGGGGTATTTGTGAGAATAAACATGAGAGAGGCTGTGAAGCGTTCATGGAACCACAGACATGAATTTGATAGCTATCTATTGTGAAATATGTATCTAGTGAAAGATTATCTCAGACCTGTACAAATTCTTTGGGAATTGCAACATTACTGAAGCAAATAACTTTTCAAAATTTGAACAAACATTTCTTTTTTGCCACTTCCTCCTGGCCTTGAGAAAGCTACTCACTTTTTTGTGTCAGTTTTCATGATTTTTCTCACTCCTTGAGGCAATTATTTAATGCATCTGTGAAAGAAACGGAATTTTCCTCCCACTTTATGTTATCCTTCTTCTCTTACCTGTTCTAGCAGGCATGTCTTGCTGACAGCTGTGCAGATCCCAACCCCAAAGCTTTCATGTCATTGTATGTTCAGTAAATTTAAGGTGAAGGATTGCATTTGAACTAGCGAGTCACTTCAGTAAATCTCTTCACTCACACAACTGCCACCCCTCTTTTTTTTTTTTTTTACTGAGCATTACATTGGGCTCAGTGTGAAAAAGACAATGGCCTTCTCAATCATCTCCCTGCTCCAGCCTGGGGACCTGTCATTCTTCTTGAAATCTTCTGGGAGGGATGCAGGCACCTTAGCAACCTTCCCAAATACTGGTGTTGGGGAAAAGGGCCACCACATGTGTCACAGACCCATATGACACCAAATGTTAATAGTAATTGACATCCTCATGCAGGATTTCAGTTTTCATTTTGAAAATAGTTGAGGTAAAGATGAACTCTGAACAAGATGTAAACCAAGGAGGGGTTTCTGCCCCACCAAGAAGGCTGGGATGTTCTCTTAAACATTTTACTAAAATTGCCGTGGGGGGGTGGCAAGAGAGGAATCCGATGGGTGCATCGCTGGCTTTGTTGTTGTTGTTTTCACATTAATATTGTGAGGGGTTTCTTTTTTTAATTGGGAGTCAGCAAAAAACCCAAATAAGTATTAATAGAATTGAGTCAAAAGGTGAAATATACACCAATTTCTACGTAAATGTGAAATGTTTCTAACAATGATGTTTCTAGGGTACTATGCATATAGCTGTCATTTATACAATCATATGCTAATAATGGTGCCCTGTCTTTCTGCTGGTGAGGGAAGTTGCTAGGCTTTTATAAAGCCCAGACAAGTGAATCAGTTACTTATGATGAACTCAGTTACTGCTCTAACTCCCTTTCAACTATTATGAACCCCTACACAAAAATCTACCTCAGTTTCTCTCTCTTTTCCTTTAAGAGGCCTCTTCTTTCTGATCCATTGCTTTCAGGCCTTCATTCCATTGCTTGTGTTTGCTTTATCATATTCACTCAGATAAGAAGCTGGCCAGAGCACAATGTCCCCTTTGTATTAAATTGCTCTGATGCTGTAATGGCACAAGCCATTCTTCACATTAAGGTGGCTGTTCTTAGCCATCTTTTAAAAACCAATTTGAACAGGAAACTGCAGAATGAGAAATCATCCACAGACTGGATTATGTTAAGTATAGTTGAAACAGGGACTATGGATTCTTATCCCATTATCTGGGTTAGCTTTGGTGACTCCTCTGTTCCTGTGGGCTTACTGCTTGTTTCCTTGACTCTCCCAGCACTGTCCCCACTGTCCCTACTATCTCTCGGTCCCCACCACCCTTGTCTTTTGTATTCCAATTTCTCTCTCCTTTCTGCTTGTGCTCCTTCATGCTTTCTCCATGTCCTTTTACAGCTTCTGATGAAGCGAGCTTCATCACACACACACACACACACACACACACACACACACACACACACACTTTAGCTACATACAGACATCCAGGGAAGTTAGATCACATGAAAGACAACCACTCAATTGAACTTAGTTCACACAGGTACAGACCTTACACTTAGATTGTCCTAACCAGGAATCTAGAGTGTGAACTGTAGAGAAGTTCCAGGAAAATAAGACTGGTCTAGAAATGGGCAACTCGATCGAAGTCAGCTGTACCTTGGAGGTAGTCTAACTTAGACTGGGTCTGGCGAAACTGATCTAACTGAACTTCTGTATAGTTTCCAGCACAGCCCTGGGGCTGTAAAAACCCAGCTGCTGGCCCCAGCCCCAGCCCCAGGGCTGCAATGTTCCTACCCAGCCTCCTGGCTATTTTCAGCCCCCTGGCACCTTGCCCCACCTCCAGACAGCCCTCCCCATACCCCTGAACCAACCAAACCCGTATCCCTCAAGCTGCTCCTGGTGCTGGTGTTACCAGTATTTGCTGGAGCTGGGAGCCAATCAAAGTAAGTCAGGATGGGTAGCATCAAAGGGTGATAGGTTCACTGTGGGGGTCATCTAGAGTGGAGGGGGTCAAGGGGCTAAAAATAGTCCCTGGTCAGGGGGGACAGAGACCCCCCCCCCGGCCCCCCTCATGGATCCTGTCATACCCCACCAACCCCTTGTGGATCCCACTTGTCCCCTGAATCCCTCCAAGCCCCCACAGACCCTGTCTACCCCCCATGTGGACCCCACTTGCCCCCTCAATCCCTCCACAGACCCTGCCAGCTCCCCAATTTCCCTGTTCCCCCCTGTGGGCCTCCTGTTTCCCCAAATTCCCTTAATGCTCCCTGCAGAACCTGCTTCCCTCCCCCATGTCCCTGCAGACCCTGCTTCCCTGCCCCAAGCCCCCCACAGACTCTGCCTGCCCCCAGTTCCTCCTGAAGACCCTGCCTGCCCCCCCCCAGTTCCTCCTGAAGACTCCACCTGGCCCCCTATTCTCCGAGCTCCCCCCCCTTGCTATTCTCTCCACCCTGACTCACCTTAGATTGGGTAGCTATTTTTAACTCCATGTAACCTCCCCCTAACCTCCCTGAATGCCTGTACATACCCTTTGGTTAGTCTATAAGGTACAAATCTACCCTGTCCTCTACAAGCCACTTTTGATAGGTGAAATAGGTGGTTTACATGGAAATGAAAGAGCTTGATGTTAAGAAACCCAGAGGGGGCTGTAAAAAGAAGCCTGTGTCTTTTCAGTCTCTCAGCCCTTTGTATGGCTGTCACAGCCACATGTCATTCCACAGAGGCCAAGAATATTCCCAGGCTACCTATGGCAGAAACACAGAACAAGGATCCCTAAAGGCTGCCCTGCCTGCTGTAAAAGGAATGGATGCATTAGTTCATGTTTCTTTGTCAGCTCCTGCCTAGTTAGTCAGGCTTTTGAACCGTGCTGTATACTGTAATAGTTTCAATCCCTGCATTTCAAAAAGATTTGCAGTAAGCCCCTTCTTAATGTTTGGTTTCATTTGCCTGTCTTCAGTTGCCCTTTAGAGCTAAGGTCAAAATCATCTAGTAACTAAAT